TTTTCCCTTTCTTCCCAAACTGTTTTTTTTCTGCTGTTCTGTCTTAATGACAGAAAATGGTCACATACAGCACCCAGATTTGTGTAAATTAACCTGCCATATTTTTCTTTTAAGTTTATAATTTTTTATTATGGACCATTTAAAATGTACAAAAGTAGAAATAATAGTATAGTGAACCCCCATGTACCTGTCACCCAGTTTCAACAATTCTCAACTCAGATCTCTATCTCCATCCACATTCTCCCACCTCACTTGAAATAAATAAATCTCAGACAGCATATTATTTTATATTTAAACACACTTAAACACAATGTGTATATCTAAAAAAGGGAACTCTTTCTTTTTTTAATGTTAGCATTAACTGAGGTGCCTACTTCATTCATATTTTCTTAGTTTTTAACTAATGCCTTCTTTCTCTTCTTGGCTCAGGCTTTCCTTGCTTTGGATGACATGGACAATTTTAGGAGTACTGGCCAGGTATTTCGTGTAGTGCATCTCAACAGAGATTTGTCTAACGTTTCTCACGGTTAAACTGGGGCTATGGTTTAGGGGGAGGAAGGCCACAAAGGTAAAATGGCATTCTCAATACATGATATTGAAGGTACCTACTAGCAACGTGTTTTTGGGGTTTTTTTTTTTGAGTGATTTTTGCTACGGGGCGCATGCACTCCACAGAAAGACATAGAGAGACAGAAAGCAAAAAATCACCCCCGGGGGGATGGCCACACCACAATCTCTTCTCCTCCATTCTCTTCTCCGGATCTTGGGCACACATGCACACTTGATCAGCATGAATTTAAGCCACCGAGTCCGGGACTTGAACCATGGTCAACTACATGGGAGTCTAGCGACATAGCCATTATACCAACTGCTGGTCCCCCTACTAGCAACATGCTGGTCTTGATCATCTTCATAACCTGTTAACATTCAATGTTAAAAAGATGCATGGAGATTTCCCTTTCTTTCCTTAACTTCTAATTTCATTCTTTCTATGTACTGGCTACAAAACAAAGGATGTATATTGAGAAACAGTGAGTGGTAAGACTACATACAAGATGAAAGAATGTATTCGATTTTTTTTTTTAGAGGTTTTTGCCTTAGGGCATATGCCCTTGCTGGAGAGACAAAGACAGTGAGAAGGAAAGTGAGATATCACCTCCTAGGGGGGATGGCCACCTTGCAATCTTTTCTCCTCCATTCTCCTCCCTGGATCTTGGGCACGCACACATGCACACGTGCCCTGTGTGTGTTTCAAGCCACTGGGTCCAGGACTCAAAACGTAGTCAGCCATGAGGGAGTGAAGCGACATAACCACTATACCATTTGCTGGCCCCAGAATGTATTAGATTTTTAAGTTTGTCATTTGGGGGAGTGGTGTGAGATAGAGGAATTGGGGAGTCAAGATTTAACTTCTACATTTCTGAAAGTTCATTCCTAAATTCTACAGTATGAGCATTTTGTGTGCGTGCATGCACAGAAAAAAAAAAGATTTACCATTTTAACCATTTTTTAAGTATACACGTCAATAGCATTAAGTACGTTCACATTGTTGTGCAACCATCACCATTCACGCAGAAGTTTTTCATCCAAAACCACAAGCCCATAATCTTTAACATGAACTTCGCATTCTACCCACATCCTCACCAGCCCCTAGCAACCACTCTTCTATTCTCTATGAATTTGACTACTCTCGAATCGCTTATAAGTAGAATCATGCAATGTTTGTCTTTTTGTGTCTGGCTTATTTCACTCAGCATAACGTCTTCACCGTTTAGTCATGCTACAGTTGTGTCAGAATTCAATTTCTGTTTAGGGCCAGCCTGTGACCTGGTGGTTAAGAGGGTTGGATTCTTCATAGCCAATTGCACAATTCAAGTCCTGGACACAGAGGGTTTGAAAAACACACCAAGTATATGTGTACATATACACAAAATCCCAAAAGGGGGAGAAATGGAGAAGGAATTGCAGTGTGATCATGCCCCATGGGGGTCGTTTTCTTGCTTTCTCTCTTTCTCTATCTCTCCTTCAGCTGTATGTACCCTCTGGCCAAAAGAAAAAGAAACAGAAATTTCATTCCTTTTCTTTTTTTTTTTTTTTTGAGAGGTTTTCGCTATAGGGTGTGTGCGCTCGCCAGACAGACAGACAGAAAGCGAGAAATCACCCCCCAGTGGGATGGCCACACTGCGATCTCTTCTCCTCCATTCTCCTCTCAGGATCTTGGGCACACACGCACATGCACCCAGTGTGAGTTTTAAGCCACTGGGTCCGGGACGCGAACCGCAGTCGACTACGTGGGAATCCAGCGACATAGCCATTATGCTAACCGCTGGTCCCAATTTCATTCCTTTTCAATGCTGAATAAATTCCACTGCATGTATATATATACTGTTTATCGATTCATCTGTTGATGAACATTTGGGTTGTTAACACCTTTTGGCTATTGTGAACAATGCTACTGTAAACATGGTGTACAAATATCTGTTGAAGTCGTTGTTTTCCATTCTTTGGGGGAAATAGCCAAAAGTGGAATTGCTGAAACATATAGTAATTTTATGTTTAATTTTTTTGAGCAATCATATTGTTTTCCACAGCAGCTGTACTCTTTCCATTCCACCAGCCATGTACAAGGGTTCCAATTTCTCCACATCCTCCTTAACACTTATTTTTAATTTTTTTCAAATAATAGGCATTCTAGTAGCTGTGAAGTTTTATCTTATCATAAGCTTGATTTGCATTTCCCTAATGACTAGTAATGTTGAACATCTTTTTTTGTGTTTACTAGCAACCTCAGTTTTTAAAGATGTTTCCCCATGACCCATTGTTTATTTTCTTACTCTACTCTAAAATTTCCCCATTTTATTTCTTGACAATATTAAGAAGAGGCAAAGTAAGTACACAGGTTTCTCCAATTTGGGGAGTAGCTTTCTGGAAATAGGCTTGTACTGCTTTACTCCATAGCAGTACAAATCCTGAAGCCCCACTGAGGCTATTGGTTTACTTAAAAACAGCCTTCTAACTCTCCTTCCTGACTCTAGTCCACCCTCCTTCTTGCCACTGGTTACAAATTGACAAGCTTCATAGATTGAAAACAGGCCTCGTGTTCGATGCACTGGACATTCCCACATGGTCAACCATGGTTCAAGTCATGGACCAGGCAGCTTACTGTCTTATTTTCCCTCCCTCCCTCTCTCTGTTCCTCTCTCTGGTGAATTAAAATAATATTTATTTATTTATTTAGAAATATTTTTTGAACAAGATTGGTTCCCCTAGCACAGTAGTTAAGGCCTGCACATAGGGAGTCAGATCCCACAAGGCCACCTCAGTTCAAATCCCAGCACTGACAACTTGAAAAACATGCCAGGCACATGTGCACGGGTACACAAAATCCTGGAAAGATAGAGGAACAGAGAGAGAGAGAGAGAAATAATCACAGCTTGACTATATCCAATGGAGGCTCTCTCTGTCTATCTGTCTCTGTCTCTCAATTTAAAAAAAAAAAAAAGAAAAGAAAAGAAAAGAAAGAAACAGCGTTTTGTTTTTTTAGGAAAAGGGCCAAATTCTCAGGCTCCACCCACCCTTGCCCACAGTCTGCTCCAGTACTGATTTTCAGTCAGCTTCCCCAGCACCCCTCTGTGTCTTTGTGCACCCCTCTCCTTTGCTCTAAATGCCTTCCCTGTCCCTCACCACCTTGGCAAATCCTTCTCAAACATTACCTCCTCCGCTTTCTCCCAGACATCCTTTCTCTGATGCCCTTTAGCATTTTAAAAATCTGGACCATTATCGCTGCTTATTTCCTTACATTGTTCATAGCTGATCACACGGTGTTTAGTCATGGGCTCTCCGCCACACTACAAGAGCCTTAAGAAGCCTGCATCTTATGCAGCCTTTATACTCAATGATGCCTGGGGACAAACGCACTTCCAGTCAGCCACCAGTTGTCCTGCAGCATCTGGAAGGGTGTGCAGCCTGTCAATCACCATCAGAAAGCGGTCTCATCTCGCCCATTGCCCATCGCATTTCTGCCCAGTTGGAGGTCACCTTGGCAGGATTTCCAGTTTTGCCTCCCTGCATGTGGTCTCTTCTTCCTCGCACCTCCTTCCTCCACTGCTCCACCCCTCTCCAAAGCCTCCTAGTTCCATTCTGGAGGCCTACTCTACTAGGGCAGCAAGCCTTTTCAGGAGTCTACTGTTTTTTTGTTTTGTTTTGTTTTGTTTTGTTTCTGCCTATTAGATCCTTCAGAGCAAAACACGAGTTAATTTTAAGAGTTTGTTTGTTTGTTTTGTTTGTTCTTTTTTTTTTTTTTTTTTTTTTTTTTTTTTTTCATTTGGGGTGGGTAGACAGACAGACAGAGAGACAGAAAGCAAGAAATCACCCACCACAGGAGATGGCCACGCCACAATCCCTTCTCCTCCATTCTCCTCTTGGGATCTTGGGCATGCACGCACACGCGACTGGCGTGAATTTTAAGCCACCAGGTCCGGGTCACAAACCGTGGTCAACTACATGGGAGTCCAGCGACATAGCCATTACTCTAACTGCTGGTTCCGTTAATTAATGTTTTAAGGTTTTGCTAACATTGACTGTAATTCAAAACATAACTTCAGGGTTTATCAGGCTATCAAATCTCTGTCTCCACGTTCACATGCCCAGGACCACCCTCACCACCAAGGGAGAGGAAGGAGACAATTGCATAGGGGGAAAAACACAACTGATTTGTCATGCAAATCGGTGCATTTATGAAGTCTTAGGTTTCAAGGAAGAAGATTGCTATCGGCTATTTCCTCAGCTGCTAAGCCAATCCATTAGCAAGACCCAAATGTATCCATTATTCTCCATCCCCAAGGCCATCATCTGAAAAAGCCTCCCAGCTAGTCTCTCTGCTTCCATTCTTGTCCAGTTGCAATCTTTTCTGCACATAGGCCCCCAGAGTAATCTTTTAGGGAATAGCACTCTTCTTAAAACTCTTACGAGAGGAACCTGGGCTGCTGTGAACCGGGGCCATGATCATTCCCATGCGCTCTTTCACCTGCAGCAAGATTGAGGGCAGCAAGTGGGAGGCCTACCTCGGGCTGCTACAGGCGCAGCACACCGAGGGGCATGCCCTGGACTGGCTGGGCCTGAAGTGCTACTGCTGCCACGGGATGCCGTTAGCCCACATGGACCAGATGGAGAAGCTGTTCAGTTACTCACCCTGGAGAAATGACTGCCGGGACACGCCCATTCTGTCCTGGCTATAGGCACTCAGGGCCTTGCCCAGAGTCCATAGCTGGTGTTGGGGGACAGGGATCAATGCCTAACCATGCTGTACGCACATGGAGTCCCCTCTGGAAGGAACCATCAGTAAACGTCTTTGTAGAACCAAACCAAACAAAAATAAAATCTCAAGATTCCCTAGAGCACTTAGAATAAAAGTCAAACTCCTTTCCGTGGCTAATTAGCCTTCATAGGATCTGGTCCCTATGACCTTCTCATTTCATGTAAGTTATTTGTTGCTGCCTACCAAACCACTCCAAAACTTACTTAAAGCAGTATGGGACCAGCAGATGGCATAATGGTTTCATCGCTGGACTCCCACATGGTCAACAATGGTTCAAGTCCTGAACCCAGAGGCTTGAAACCCATGCCAGATGCCCCATATCCAGAGATGAGAGTGGACGAGAAGGGATTGCAGAATGGCGGAGGGGGAACTCCCAGCTTTCTGTCTCTGTCTCTCTGGTGAGCTCATGTACCCTATAGCAAAAATGTTTCTTAAAAAAAAAAAAGTAATGCTTTTGGGACCAGCAGATGGTGTAATTGTTATGTCACTGGATTCCCACATGGTATAAAGCAGTTCACACCAGGGGCCTGTGCCAGCGGGCCAGCCTAAAATCCTGAGAGGAGAATGGAGGACAAGGGATTGTAGCATGGCCATTCCCAGATCTTGGCATGCATACTGCAATCCCTCCAGTCTCTTCTCAGGATTTTTGGCACACATACACACGTGCCTGGCATGAGCTTTAAGCCACCAGGTCCAGGACTCGAACCACAGTCGATTACATGGGAGTACGGCAATGTAATCATTATGCCATTTGCTGATCTCAAGATATCCCCATTCTAATCCCTGGAGTTAATGACTGTGTTAAGTTACATGACAGAGGAAAGAGGTTGCATACAGAATTGAGGTTACTAATCAGTTCTTCTAAAAGAGAGGGCATTGTGAAAAGGACTCTGCCCGACATTGCTAACTGTGAAGATGGAGAGAGGAGGCCACAGCTAAGGAATGTGGGTGACCTCTAGAAGGTGGTAAACGTAAGAAAAAGGATTTTCCCCTTATGTCTCCGGAAGGAATATAGCCCTGAAACATTCATTTTAGCCCAGTGAGACCCCTTTCTTTTTCTAAAAAATGAATTATTTATTCAATTGTATTTATTTGTTCACTTATTTTGATTTTTCCAGAGAGAGAGAGGGAGAGAGAAAGTGGGAAAGCAAGCAACCAGGTACGGGACTCAAACCATAATCGTCCACGTAGGAGTATCCACAACACCACATGCTGGTCCCCACCCCTTTCTAATTTCTTTCCTTTTTCTTTCTTTCTTTTATTTTTAGTTTTTTTTATTTTTAAAAAATTTTTTAGAGGGAACCAGCAGTTAGCATAATGGCTATGTCTCTGGACTCCCACGTAGTCGACCGCGGTTCGCGTCCCAGACCTGGTGGCTTAAAACTCACGCCAGGCGCGTGTGCGTGCATGCCCAGGATCCCGGGAGGAGAATGGAGGAGAAGGGATTGCGGCATGACCATCCCCCCTGGGGGGTGATTTCTCACTTTCTGTCTCTATGTCTCTGTCTCTGTCTGTCTGGCAAGCGCCCGCGCCCTATAGCGAAAAAACCTCTCAAAAAAAAATTTTTTTTTAGAGACTTTTGCTATAGGGTGTTGCGCTCATGGGAGAGACAGAGAGATAGAAAGCCAGAAATCACCCCCCCCCCAAGGGGGAATGGCCATGTCTCAATCCCTTCTCCTCCATTCTCCTCTTGGGATGTTGGACACGCACAAACATGTGCCCAGCATAAGTTAAAGCCGCCAGGTCTGGGACTCAACCCATGGTTGATTACGTGGGAGTCCAGCGACATAACCATTTCACCATCTGCTGGTTCCAAGGCCCCTTTCTGATTTCTGACCTCTAGAACTGTAGGATAATAAATTAGTGCTTCTTTAAAGCCCTACATTTGGGGCAATTTGTTACACCAGTAATAGGAAACGAAATGTCCCCACAACTGAGATAAGGAAATAAATCATAGTGTTACACCTAGTTCCTCTCTTTTACTGAGTCCTGAAATCATAGACCATCACTAGCTCAAAGTGTCACCCCACTCACATTATTCCAAGTCCCCAGCTGAGTGCTGCACCTTGCAATGGCTTTGCTGCAATATAGCAACAGGGATAAGCAGTGGCGTGCTAGAGCAGGCATATGCTGGTTCATGAAAACCAACTTAAATGTTCAGGAATTGTGCAAGCCAATTGTTAAACACAACCATCATTAAAAATTCAATTATGGAAACTTAAAATTAAATAAGTTATATATATATTTTTTCTTTTTTAAAGAGGTTTTTGCTACAGGGTGCGTGTGCTCGCCAGATAGGCAGAGAGAGACAGAGAGACAGAAAGCAAGAAATCACCCTCTGGGGGGATGGCCATGCTGCAATCCCTTCTCCTCCATTCTCTACAGGATCTTGGGCACGCATGCACATGCACCCGGCGTGAGTTTAAGCCACCAGGTCCAGGACTCAAACCACGGTCGACTACAAGGGAGTCCAGTGACATAACCATTATGCTAACTGCTGGTCCCTAATAAGTTATATTAAAAACAAAGATAAATACTCAAAACTCATTACTTCCTTATTTTACATTTAACCATTATCTATGCTCTGGCAATTATTTATGTTCATGCTACCTTTATGGTGGAAATGCTATTTGATGGTGTGCTAGGCATATCTTTGCAATTCTGCATTTCGTGACATCATGTTGGTAGCTCAATGGGCCATGATGGAAGTATCTGTACCATGGGAATAGGTAAATGCTACAAATCAGGGCTTCACCCCATGCCGCCCCAGAGCCAGTTATGTATTTGTCACCAGTGTATAGGCAAGTAATAACTGGCCTTAGAGTGTGGCCGACAAATTCAGGGCGTTTTTTGTATGTCCCACAGTAAAGGCCATAAATATTTCTGCAAAACAAGTCCTAGGAACCACTGAGACAAAAATTCATCTGGTAGGCTCTTTAGGGCCTCACAGAATCTGTGCTAATTCATCTTTCTTTTCCCAGCAGAGTGAGTACTCAATAAATGTCATCTGAATAAAGAAATGAATCTGTGCTTTCCTCAAGGTGGAAAGCTAAACCTAACTTGAGGAAGGCTTTTTGGAATGTGTGACTCGCACTTTTATTTTCTCCATAACTCAGGATATTATGAAAATTATTTCACTTTAATTATTAGTTAGCTAATTTAAATCAACTTAGAAATGTTCCATAAATGCGAGTAGTTATTATTCCATTTATTACTATTTAAACCACAAGTGATCCAAGTTCACTGATACATCAATGTTCCTCTATGAGTTAACTATCTTTTTCTTAAAACAAGGTGAAGTAGTGCCTATATTTACATTTGGAATAATATTTTTAAAGTTTTTTTTTAGAATTATTTAATTTTCTTTATTGATTCATTTATTTTAATTTGACCAGAGAGAGAGAGAGAGAGAGAGAAAGTGAGAAAGCAAGCCACCAGGTCTGGGACTCAAACTGTGGTCGGCCATGTGGGAGTGTCCAGCTCCTTAACTACCATACCACCTGCTGGTCCCCTGGTATAATATTTTTTGTGAGAATTTTCCTTGTCTTAGTTTTTTAGAAAGTTTCTAACAACAAGGAAAACTACAATTTTTTAAAAATAGCAATTAAGGTTAAATAGTGAAATATTTTCCTGCCTTTCCTATATAATGAGGGAAAATTGACAAAAGAAGTTATTTTACAGAAGAATTGCAGGTAATAAATGTAAATAGATTACAGAACTTTTTAAGGTCACCATTTTGCAATTCCTAACAAAATAATTGATCCAAGGCAAAGACGATCTGAAACCATTAGATGAGATGTTGATGGTAGGTTTGCACGGGGGGAGTCAAGTTGCCATCCCTTGGATCTACTGATCAGTCTTTATTCCTTAAGAGTGGAGCAATTGTGCCATTTACATGCTTTCCAATGAGATGTAGGATAAACTCCATAGCACCACTTTTTTCTTTCCTTTCTTTCTTCCTTTTTTTTCTTTTTTTTTTTGGCTAGGGCATATGCACTAGCCAGATAGAGACAGAGAGAGGGGCAGTGAGAAATCACCCCCCAGGGGTATGACCACACATAATCCCTTCTCTATTCTCTTGAGATTTTGGGCACACACACACACACACACATATGTGTACCCAGCATGATTTTCAAGCCGCCAAGTCTGGGACTCAAACCATGGCCAGTCATGTGGGAGTCCAGCACCTTAGCCACCATGCCACCTGCTGCCCCACTCCACCATAGTATCATTTCTGAATTGACCTTGTCAAAGTACTTAACCTGCATCCCATCCAGATTTTAGATCCAGCTTCCAGTCTTTGGAAACCTAGAGATGAAAGGGACTAATTAAGTGACATCACAAGGAGGCCGCTGGACATGTGCAGGATGAGGAACTACTGAGCAACTGAAAAAGTTGGAAAACAAGGAGTGCTTTACATGAGAAGACACTTAGCATTTTCTTACAAAAATGACCAGTTAGTCTTACACTATGACCACTTATTCTATTCTGGAGTGTTTACTCAAGAGAAATGAAACATACATCCAGAAAAAAAAAAAAACTATGCAAAAAATATTAGCCCAGCCTATGTGGCACAGTTCTTAGTGTACTGGTCTGCTGCGCTGAAGGTCATATGACTGATCTTAGGTTCAGATCCCCAGGCCAGCCTGAAAACATGTTGGGGACCAAGATCCTGAAGAGCTGGAGGTCTGGGGAAAGGGAACTCAGAAAGATGAGACCCCCATCAAGGATGCTTTCTCTCTCTCTTGTGCACATACATGTGCTACACGTGCTTTCTATTATTTAAAAAAGTTCATATCAGCTTTATTCATACTAGCCTAAATTGGAAGCAATCCAGGTGTTCAACAAGACTATGCAAAGGCAAATAATAGTGTGTGCATACAACAGAGTATGACAGCCGTGAAAAGGAATAGGCAACTA